GGGGGTGGATCTTTGAATGCCTCTCTAACTTTGGGAAATTTTCTTCCAGGATTTCATGGAATAGATTGTCAGTGCCCTTAATTAGTCTCTTCACCTTTTGGGATACCGATTATCCAGATGTTTGGACGTTTAGTAGTAGTATCTAGTATTTCTCGTATATTATTCTCATTTAGTCTTCACGGTGGATTTTACTAGTCCAGCGATCCTGTCTTCTACAACTGAGATTCGATTTTCTGTATGATCTAGTCTGCTTTTAATACTTTCAAAGGAGGTTTTGGCTTCCTGTATTATAGCCTTCATCTCCGACAGTTTCATTTGACTCTTTTTTATGGTGTGTATTTCCTCTTTCAGCTCACACAAGGAATTCCTCACCTCCTGGGATTCATCGACTTTTTTCTTCTGGTGTTCATTGTCCCTCTTCTCTTCCATCTCTGTTAGTTTTGTTATTATGAATACTCTAAATTCTTTATCAGACTTGTCCATGATTTCCATTGTACTGTCTGTTGATGAAGAGGAATTATTTCTTTTCCTTGGAGGAGAGGTATTTTCTTGCTTTCCCATACTTCTTGTGGCCCTGTGGTGATTTCTAGTCATCTGGTGGATGGTGTGTTTCTTCCTAGTTCTTTTTTTTTTTTTGGAGAGGTTTTTGCTATAGGGCGCGTGCGCTCGCCAGACAGACAGAGAGAGACAGAGAGAAAGCGAGAAATCACCCCCCAGAGGGGATGGCCACGCTGCAATCCCTTCTCCTCCATTCTCCTCTCAGGATCTTGGGCACGCACGCACACGTGCCCGGCGTGAGTTTAAGCCACTGGATCCGGGACTTGAACCCTGGTCGACTATGTGGGAGTCCAGCAACATAGCCATTATGCTAACTGCTAGTCCCTCTTCCTAGTTCTTGAAGTTCAATCTGTTTCAATCTGTGCGTTCAGGAGCGTGCAGAAGGAGGTGATCTGGAATCTCTTTGCCGTTCTGTTTTTATCCCTTTGTGCAGGAGATTCAGTGGCTATTGAGGAATATGTTAACCCTGATAGTATTTGGATGTTTGACTGTGGATCCCTGTAGAAACACAGTAAATGGAGACTGAGTAGCAGAGTGATTAGATTAAAAAAAAAAAGAAAGAAAGAAATGGAAACAGGGGGGAGGGAAAAAACCCCAAAGAAACAGAAAATGAAAAAAATAAAAAAAAAAACATAAAAATGTATTTAAAAACAGAGTAAAGAATGAAAATATGCTGTGTGCAATCACTAGTTCTCAGAGGCCATGGAGGGGTCTTCTTCTGAAGGCCTGCCCCTTGCCTTTCCTGGATGGGAGCGGGAAAGAGGATTATCAACAAGATAAAGGAAGGGCTAAAAGCCAAGAGAGTACTTTAACTTTTATTTTTTTTTTGAGAGGTTTTTGTTACAGGGTGCATTCGTTCTCCGGAAAGACAGAGATAGAGAGACATCAAGAAATCACCCTCCAGGGTGGATGGCCATGCCGCAATCCCTTCTCCTCCATTCTCCTCTCAGGATCTTGGGCACGCACGCACACACGCCTGGCGTGAGTTTAAGCCACCAGGTCCAGGCCTCGAACCGTGGTTGACTACATAGGAGTTCAGCGACATAGCCATTACACTAACTGCTGGTCCCCGAGAATACTTTAGCTTAAACATTTTTAAAAAGGAAAAATTACAAGAAAATGAGAAGACAGAGACAGAAACAGAGGGAGACAGAGACAGAGAGAGGGCTAGAGGGGCTCCCTACCACTCAAATTTCCATGTTTGGTTTTTTGAGTTTTTAGTATCTTCCTACTATTTGGACAGAATCCTAATCTTGTTTCCTGGTTTTTAGTCTTAAGCAAATTTTTCTTAACTTTTTAATTTTGATCCATTAAAGCTAAAACTGCTTACCTTGAAATTAAGAAAAAAATTGTAATAATAGCAAACTAAAGACAGTGCAGGAGAAGGGCGGGCGGTAATGGGGAGGAATCAACAGGGACAAAGGAGCGCAACACTTAATGGACACAGAAATGGAAAATTATCTGCTGATAGTGTGTATGATAATATCTTTGGCTGGACCAATATTCAGTGTATTCAAGGTTGCAAAATTTGTTTTGTATGCTGTAAAGATGTATGGTGATAAAAAAAAATAAGAGAATATAAGATTTAAGAAGTCAGACAACTGATTGTGTTCATTCTGCAGAACACAGTTACAATAAGTGATTCAGTGACATGAGCGTTTAAAGACAGAGCTGGCCCCATGGCACAGTGGCAATGCGCTGCTCCAGAGAGGCTGACTCCCACATTGTGACGGGATTCCTCCTGGTCAGCCCAAAGCACTCGGGGCACTGGCAAAGGGAGCCATGGCATGGCCAGGCCCTGTGGAGGTGCTGTCGCCCTCCCTCCCTCTCATGCACGTGCGGTCTTCTGTCAGGACCGAAGAAGAGAGCTGGTGCCGTACGTTCACCTGATGGCCGTCTGTTCTGCCATTGCGTCGTGCGTGCGTGGAGTCAGGAGGGCAGTGGTTCCCTTTTGTTACAGGTAAATGATGTATTAAAGTTGGCGTGCAGGCTCGCATTTAAAACATTCATAGATGGGGGCCGGCAGGTGGCGTAGTGGTTAATGGCGCTGGTCTCCCACATGGCCGACTGTGGTTCGAGTCCCAGGCGTGGTGGCTTGCTTTCTCACTTTTCCTCTCTCCTTCTCTCTCACTCACTCTGTCCCTCTCTGGTGAAATTAAAATAATAAAGTCAAAATAATTCTTAAAAAAACAAAACAAAACAAAACAAAAACAAACAGCATTCCTAGAGGGCCAGCCTGTGGCACAGCAGTACTGCAGCACCATCTCGTGCTGGACCATGTGACGAGGCCTCCAGTTCACGTCCTGAGGTCTCGTACACACCAGGCACACGGGTGCGTGCTTGTGCTCAGGGCTGGCGGAGGCTGGCGTGGGTTAGTGTGGAGAGCTCATTGGCGTGTCTGTCTCATGAAAGAAGAAAGTACATGAACTAAAATATGTGTGCATGTGTGTGTGCACACGTGTGTGTAATAGGTTGTTGGGAAAGTCATGATGTATTTTTCTGTTTTTCTCTGCAAAAATCTGCAGTGACTTTCCCAATGACCCAGTATGTGTGTGTATCTATATACAGTTTTCCACACAAAAAACTAAAGTGAGCTGCACAGTGAGGTCATGCTCGTATTAGTGAAGCGTCCGTTTTTCTTTCCATTCCAGCCAACCTTCCAGTGCCAACCATTGCAGCAATTGATGGACTCGCTTTGGGTGGTGGCCTCGAACTGGCTCTGGCCTGTGATATCCGTGTAGCAGGTGAGAACTGATCCTTTCAACAATATAATTTTTAAAAAAAGAATTGTTTATTTAATTTTATTCATTATTATTATTGTTATTTTAAATTCGCTATAGGGCATATGCACTCACCAGAGGGCGAGAGAAAGAGAGGGAAACCGAGAAAGCAAACCGCCAGGCCCAGGTCCGTGGCCGACTACATGAACTGTAGTTTAAAACATAATTTTAAAAGCTGAAGTTGTGTTTATTCCGAATGTTTCGTTCTCTTTGCTTTTGTTGAGTAAAGCATGTCAGAAAAGCTACGTGTTGGTTTAGTAGTATATTTAAACTTCCCACTTAAGGAAATAGCCTTTTGTTGTCTCTTGACAGTGTCAGTAATAGGAAAAGAGCAGAAGATTCGGGTCAGGCAGCATCTCGGGTCCTGCTCCTGTGGGAGCAGTCTCGTGGTCTAGCCGGAGGAACATGCCTGCTGCAGTTGTCAGAACGTCAGTGGAGTCAGCTGTGGAATGTTCTCGTTCCGAGCACTTATTCTCGTCAGCTCGGTGATGTAGACGGGGCATCCCTGTTCTGACATGCTTGGGGCCACATGTGGTTTGGGCTTTGTTAGATCGTGGAACATGAGGGGTCTTCGTACAGTTCATGGGAAATGCACACATGGAAAAACTATGCCTGGTTGTCACTTCTTTTGCACCAAAATAGTTGTATTTAACCCCATTTTCGCACGCGCTTGTATTTGTTAACATGTACATAATGAGAGGTCTGGGGGAGGGGACCCGAGTCTGAACATGCAGTGCTCTGTCTCACGCTCTCCTGTACACTGCGCTCGCGGGTGATTTTGTACCGTGCTTTTCCGCTGCAGCATTTTGACTGTGATCCACCGCCCAGGGTAGGTGTGCAATTTTCCACTCTGGCATCTCACTGGTACGCAGAAAGTTCTGGATATTTTGAGTGTTTGGTGTTTTCAGATTCGGGGTGCTCAGTCTGTAATAACTGACCTTTCTCAGGTGCACTTCCTTCCTGGATGGTTTTCTGACTGGGTGATGTGGGAATCCTGAAACAGTGCAGCCCCTTGCTGAGTGCCAGCAGACCACGCGCCCCGGGCTGTGTCACAGTTGGCGGGTATCCACTCTCGTCTGCCCGACAGCCTGTGAGGGTGGTTCTGGGGGCAGAAGCTGGAGCTGAGAGAGGGGACGGAACAAGCCCCTCAGGAGGTGACGAGCTGGGATTTGAACGCCGGCTGCCTGGGGTCGCAGCCCACATCCCTGTCACCCCACCAGGGCGGTCTTCGTTGTATAGTCTCAGCTCCGCCTGTCTCCTCAAACTCCGGACCACACCGGGTGGAGCAGACAGCACGACATGTCGCTGCTCGTCCTTGGTTCCTGCTGTCAGTCCACGTCCCTCAGTCTGATGTGACGTCTCCTGGATCTGCCCTGCTAGTCCCTGTGTGTCTTCTCTTCCTTTCCGTCTTAGTTCAGGTCCTGTTTCCTGAGGTGAAATCTAGAGTTTTAAGTTGAAAAGCTGAGGTACATGTGATCCATTTCTGAAAGAGTGCAGGTTCTAGAAATTAGGGTATGCGAGTGGCCTAGGTACATTTCGATATGCAAATCAGGAATTAACTACCGTGTGTTGAAGTAGTGTGGAAACAGACAGGAGAAGGCCGCCCTGTCCGCCGTCGGGGCAGCGCTGTTTGTGATACGATAAATTAAGCTGTTTGATCTGGGGGACTAGTCAGACTGCTAAAAATGTGTATTTGTCAGCTACATCCTCTCTCTAGATCCCGAGTAATTAATAGAATCTCAGCCTTCAAATTCGACTTGGCGATATCAGGTCTAATAATGTACTGTAGTTACAGCCCTGGTCTGTTTGCATCAAAAATTAATTCACTGCCACGCAGTTTTTAACAGAAAATAGTGTGCGACTCTGCATGTCTCTTGGGGCGCTCACTTGTTTCCATAATAAATGCCTTTTTAAGTGAGTTTCAAAAATTTGTGACACCAGTCTAATTAGTAAACAGTATTTTTAGTGTATCTTATTTTCTTTTTCAAGTTATCATATTTGATTGTGATGGTACAAGATGTTACTTACATTTCTATTCTTTCTTTTTTAGCTTCCTCCGCAAAAATGGGCCTGGTGGAAACAAAGCTGGCGATCATCCCTGGTGGAGGTAGGGTTGCTCCCGCCCGTCTCAGTGCCGGGCCTGTTCCCGGAGCACGTTTGCCTGCCGCCGTCTCCGCCGCACGCTGCGGGCCTAGTGTGTGTCGGTGGTAGCGGCGGTGGTGGCCGCACGGGCTGCTGCTGCTCGTGCTGGCTCTGGTGCCTATCCCTGTACCATTTGTTTGTTTATTAATTTTTAAAGAATTAATGTTTTTATTTAATTTGTTGTTATTTTTATTGTTGTTATTTTTATTTTGACTAGAGACAGACAGAGAGAAAGGGAAGGTGAGAAAGCAAACCACCAGGTCTAGGACTCAAACCGCAGGAGGCCATATGGGAGTCCAGGGCCTTAACTGCCATGCCCTGAGGCCCCTCTTAAGCTTTACGTCACTGCACGGGTCACATCACCGTCATGCTTGGGTCTGTTTTCTCAGAGGCTCACACACGTATTTTGAAACTTCACACGTGCACGTAACGCCCTGCCCTCACAAGTGCTCCAGCACACGGTCACCCCCGAGGGCGTGGGGCTCCCAGGCCCCGGGCCGCCCTCCTGTGTTTCCTGCGGCAGGACAAGGCTGGGCTAGAGTGTTCCTCCCATTGCTGCGGAAAAGCTAGGTGAGTCTCTGCTCTCTTGGAGCTGTGTAAGAGAGCTCCTTGCCAACATTGAAATGAAATTCTACGTCACTCAGTAAATAAAGGCTGACTGTCTCGATCTGGAAGATTTGGAGCTATTCCAGTCTTGTCATCCTTTCAGAGAGTCGAATCGTAAGGATGTGCACGTCATTGTAGATAATAACTTATGTCTGAATAAAGTAACAGTAACAGTAAAAATGAAAACAGTGCTGAGCATGGCAGGCATGTTTCTATATAAACAAGTGAATATCATGTTTAACTGTGTCATCAGAAGTGTCTCCTAATGAGGGTCTATAGGCAGACATTAAAACACAAGTCACATTGTGAAGGACTGCCCAGGTCAGCTTGGAAGACTCTGTTTTCTGCTTTGGTTAATTCATGAAATGTATTTGGTTATATCTATGGTTTTTAAAAGCGTCCTCCTGGTGTTTTTTTTGGAGAGGTTTGTGCTATAGGGCATGTGTGCTTGCTAGAAAGAGACAGACAGAAAGCGAGAAATCACCCCCCGGGGGGATGGCCATGCTGCAGTCCCCTCTCCTCCATTCTCCTCTCTGGATCTTGGGCACGTATGCACAAGCGCCCCGTGTGAGTTTAAGCCACCGGGTCTGGGACTTGAACCGCAGTTGACTACGTGGGAGTCCAGCAACATAGTCATTACACCATCTGCTGGTCCTGCCTCCGTGTTTTTTAATTTTTTTGGTAACGTTATTTTATTTTTGTCACTAACCTTACTTTATTTTTTAAACTTTTATTTTTCAGCCTAACAAAATAACTGTAAAAGTTGTATAAAAATGTTCTTGTGTGCCCTTTACCCAACTTCCTGAAATAAGAGTATCTTTTGAAACTATAAACTGGTAAGGTGTTACCAACCCATCTGTGACCTTACTGAAATGCTACCAGTTTTTCTGCAAATGTCCTGTTCTGGTCCAGATCCCACTCAAGGCCACACGTTGCCCTCAGCTGTGGTGTTTCCTCCTGTTAGCACCGGGCGAGCTCCTTGGTGAACGCTCATCTTTAATGACCTGACGGTCTGGCGGAGTGCTGGCCTGCAGTCTGTGGTGCTTCTCAGTTGGGGTTTGCCTGATGGTACATCGTGAGCACGTTAAGGTGGGGCGGTGGAGGTGGGAGCCCCCCGAGGAACCTGGTCCTGCGCGGGCGTCCCGAGTGTGTGCTGCCCGGTCCCTCCTCCCAGTGACAGCCACTGTCCTTTAACTTGGAGTTGGGTGCTTGTTTTACTTGTTTACTTACCAGTCTTTGTTTTTTTTCCCAGCTAAGCCCTTAACTCTCTTTTCCTTTTTTGAATTGACAAGTAAAACTTCCATATATTTGTGATGTTTTGAAATTTTGATGTGTGCCTACATTGTGGGATGCCTAAGGAAACTATTAGCATATTATCTCACACAGTGTGTTGTGTTGTGTTGTGTGGTGAGAATACTCAAAATTACTCTCCCTGCTGTTTTCCAGCGTACTATACAATTATTACCGGAAATCACCATGTACACAGTTGATCTCTTGAACTCATTTCCTCTGTGTAAATTTCATGTCCTGTGACCAGCATGTCCTCAAGCCCTGCCCAGCACTGATTCTTACAAGTTTAGGAAAGCTGCCTCTCCGAGGTTAGCACATTCTGGACCTCACTGAACGGCTCCTCGTGATTAGGGGTGGGTGTGGAAGTCTAGCCGAGAGTACTGAGCGGGTGCTGCTCAGACTACACTTCGCATTTCTGTGAACTCTGGCCACATAGTGATGACTTCGCTTGCTCGCTCGCTCAGATGGCTAACTGTAGGGCCCTTTTGTCACTCTCCCAGAAACGTTCCAGGGAAAGAATCTTGTCATTAAAATAGCTTTGACTGTTCCCCAAATTAAAAGAAGAAAATAAAGAAACCCAGAGCTCTCGGGTCCCCAAAAGCAGGTGCCGGCCCGCGTCTCACCGCTTGCTCTGGTGGCTCGGCACACCACGGCAGCCTGTCGGCAGGGGCGGCGCGCT